TATTTAAAAGTGAATCTTTAAAAAATAAATTATTTGAATCGCTTTTTAAATGTTACTGATTTTGATAAATGTCAATAATTGAAGGTTTGATAAATAAACATAAGTACCTTAATGAGATCGCTAAAAAAGAGTATAGCATGACGAAAAAGACACCAAACTTGACGGAAACAAAAATAAAATCATCTAAATATTTATGTTATTATTAAGAGGAAAGTACGGCATTTTTTAATTATAAAACTAATGCCAGTGAGGAGTTGTGCAGTTTTAAACGACTTTGTTTTAATAATAAACATTAATCTTAAAATTTTAATTATTCTATAGTACTAACAGATAGAATTTTCCCATGATCAATTTTCTACGGCTGGCTACTTAAGGCTAAGTTTCGTCTAAAATATGTAGTCGTATAACTGAAAAATGCTCACTGTACTAAATTCTAATCATCCGTTTCCAATTGCTTTTTGATTTATTAAAATATACTTGTCATACCCGAGATTGATACTCAAATAAAAACCATAAGTTTCCTTGTTGCTGGATGTAACACGACGGAAACAATTACGCCTACCAAATGAAGCGTATCTCCATTTATTTAAGCTCCTCTTTACTGATTGTTTCACACCGCTCTTCGCCTGCGGATAAACTCACTCTGGTTTCGTTGTTTTCATTTTCTAGCTGATAATACCACCAAAAAGACAATAAGCAAAAATAGACGATAGGCTTCTGTTGAAATAAATGATAAAAATAGAATCTAAGGGCGTTTACCTTCAAGAAGTAGTTTTCCAGACTTCTTATGTTCCTTAACTAATTTCACTCTTGATGCGATTTCGTGCGCAGCTTAAAGAATTTTTGGTGAAATGAGACAATGTGCTCGCGTTAGAAATACTATCAGAAAACAAAATAATTATAAAATTTTAAAAAGAGAAATCAGTGTTTTGCAAGAGTTGTTTTATACAATCTTCAGGCGGGAAAATTTATTATTTATAAAAAAAATAAGACAATTAAATTATAGCCGTATTTGCTAAAATAAATTAAAAAAATAAAATAAAGATAATAATTTTTTTGTAAACGGTTGACAGGTTTTAAAATTTTCATGAAGCAGGAAAGATTAAACACACATATATATATAGTAATTTTCCAAGCACAGCTTAGATGTGGCACAAGGTCGAAATTATGGGGCACCCAGTGAGGATCGAACTCACTACTCAGTCGTAATTGTTCTAGCGAGGCAAGCTTGCTAACCATTACACCGCCCCAGGGTGCCCTAAACACACACACATATATATATATATATATATATATATATATATATATATATATATATATATATATATATATATATATATATATATATATATATATATATATATATATATATATATATATATAAAAGGTGAGTCAAATAGTAGTGCAATTGATTTTATTATATAAGGAACACAAACATAACACGATATATCTATACATCACAAATTCACCAGCTCTTTCAATAGCAGTGTTCCACCTACGAATGAGGGGGTAGGTTTCCAAATTTCGTAAAACTCAGCTGACTATTGACGTAGCCAGTACTTTACAGAAGTAGGTTTTTTCCCTTCTTCATCACCTTCATAACGTTTGACTCCTTTCATTGGACTAAAGAGATGGAAGTCTGAAGGTGCTAAAGTCACGTGGTGATGAAGAATATTTTATGTATGTATGTATTTATTTATTTTATATAATAAAAATTGTATTATTATTTTTTTTTTTTTTTATTCCCACACTATATATTATTTTTTTTATTTTTTATTTACCAGGATATGTAATTCGTTTTGATACCGGAATGTTATTAAGATATCTAATTTTACCCCAGGATGTCTATTTTTTTTCAGTTTCATTTTTATTGATACAAGTACTTCCTTGATATAACGCAGAAACATGCGATAAAAATAGCAGATAGACTTGATAATGGGCAGTATTTATGTACACGCCCGCTGACGAAGAGAATATGGTACCCTACCGTTTAAAGTGGGAGTTCCACATGTACATAGGATTGTTAACCAAAAAAAAAAAAAAAAAAATTGCTCAGTTCTCACATTTTTGGTGCGGTAGGCGGGATTCCTCTTGAATCAGGGATTTATATTCCCTCAGACAATAACTCTTCTAATGCATTAAAATGCAATAGGGAAGATATTGTCTGAGAGGATGGCCTCTGAAACTGAGGATTTTGCGCTTGAAATCAAATTTAGCCACGAATGGTTAGGGTGAATTATAAGATCACCATTTGCACAGTTGCTTTAATTGACTTTACCCATTCGTAAACATTTATGATTTATTTTGATTTTTTTTTAACCAAGTGTTGTTAAAATAGTTTCTGACTCACAAGGACGTATCTTTATGTATGATTATTTTGTTATCGCGCCAAGTCTCCGATACAGATATATTGTCTCATTTTATCAAGAACTCGTAAACCGCTTTTAATAACTGATAAGACATCAAATTACGTCCTGATTACTCAGTACCACATTTAACC